ATATATGATGTTGAGATAATCTTCTTCACAGTAACTAGTTATCCAATCATTCTCAAAGTTTTGAATATCCATGCAGGAATATGTCCTTTTTCACGTACCCATCCACCACCGGTAATTTGCTCTAATATTCTAACAGCTACTCAGGTTTATCACATCAAATAATGCTAAAAAAACATTTACGTGTTGAAAACATTCTGCTTAAATTCTTAAAGTTATTCAATTTTGAATATAATCATTGTTTGAGGTAGCAGTTTCCTGCTAAACGAATCGACTCACACACTTCTTTAATCCTAAAAAGTAATTTGAAATGTACCCTTTTACGTTTTGGAATTTTGGGAATGAAAAAAAGTGAGCTGATTTTTTAAAAGTGAATGAAAAAAAGAATACCTTTCAAAAGAAGGTTTAGTCTTAGTATGGTAAGAAAGATTTGGCATACCATATTGTTGATAAGGGTATCTGATATGTTGAAATTCCCACTACCAGAATTGGTAGCAGATATTTTTCTGCCATTATGTTCATCATTTTCTGCTTCTGTTATGCATTTCCCATCCTACAGAAAAATAAAGTGATTAATGAGTCTTTTTCAAGAGAGAATTCACTTTGAAGACACAACGTCAATAAGACCGTAAGTCTAAGGTAATGATAGATATCAATTTTAACTCAAAATTTTAATGGATTTATAAATTTTTTATCTTATATCGTGTTTAACTTTTTTATATCTATTCAACGTAGTTGCATTTCCAAGTGTGATTTACTTAGAAGCCAATCAAACAAGATAAAAGATATGATTTTGATCCTGCTTGTCCAAATATTATCACTTCCTCCAATCATTGACTTCCCTTGCATACATATATATCATCAATCTTTTCACATTTTGACAATCAATTAAGCTAGTCCCACATTGCTTGGAGAGCATGTTATGTTCGTTTCATTGCCCTGACATGACATGACATGCCATGCCTTAATCTAATGCAAACAACCAATTATATACTCCAATCAAATCTGATTTGGTTTTTCAAAGCTATGCCATCCATTTATATATGTTTGGTCATACAATGAAAGGACATTTCTGAAATGATTCGAGAGAGTAATAATAACTGTATAATGGGTAAACAAGCACCATCCATTACATGCTTGCCACTAATAAAGTTCATGTTCTTTATTCAACAAGCATAAGATTGATATTAGGTGTTCAAACCGAACTAAATCATTGTAAAAGCTGTTAGACCGAAACAAATAAACAGGGGGAAAATTACTTCAAGATACAACACATATTTCTCAGTCAATAGTATAAATAATTCACCAGTAACAATAACAAAACAGAGATGGTTTTAGAAAATATACAATTGAACATCAGTTTTTTTGCCATTAACTAGTTTGGTATGTGAGTCACTGTTTACAAAAACGCCTATAAGTGAACTAGAGTGATTGCTGTTGTATCAAGAAGAGTCGATGGCATGATATTTTTGCTGATTTTTGAACTCCCAAAACCCCAATTATTATCATTTTCTCCAATCATTGAATCATTCACACAGAAAACAATTTTTCCCTTCAAAATACTTCAATATACTACAAATACTTTTCAATGAAGATTGTGTAAGGAAGAGCAACACATAGATCTCCATACTGGTAAAATCTTATCCGTTCTGAGTCAAATTCTCACGAATTTGCTTTTTGTACTGTAATTAACCAATAATGGTATCATTACATGAATATAGAAAGCTCTATATTGAACTTTACCACGAGCTAAAAGATTATCAAGTTCAAGGACAGTTAGAATTATGAAACTAGGATGCTTCTGTGTCCCCAGTTTCCCTCTTATTGAATGACTTGGTGTGAAGATCTCGTGTGATTTTAGTGGTTGTGTCCAAGAAATACAAAATAAATGATGTGAAGCAGGAACAAGCAAACATGGGTATTGGCCCATAAATCCAAAGGACAAGAGGAAATGAAAAGTAGAAGGCACGCAGCCCCAGAGACCAAGCATAACTCCCCCGGTTTAAGGATCTTGCAGCATATTCTATAAAATCCCTCTGGCCTTTCAGTGCATGTGTGGTGATCAAGAAGCTCACTTGTGCATAGTATCTGATAGATTGCACATTACATAGAAATGCAACGAGGAAGCATAGTGAGATGGAGAGGCGTTTGATTGAAGAATTAAGGGAAGTTTTGTTGCCATAAACTAGTTTGGTATCTGATTCATTGCTTGCAAAAACGCCAATAAGTGAACTAAGAGTTATTGCTGTTGTAGCCAGAAGGGTAGATGCCATGATATTGTTGCGGATTGTTTGAACTCCCAAAACCCCATTTTTCAGAGGATCCTGAAAACAATGCAAATGTAGTTTGTTGAGGAAACAATTGTCTCAGTGAATAAAATTATACTAGCCAAAAAGATTAAGAAATAAACTTTAAGCCTAACTCAACCCCACAAAATCAGTTTGTAAAATGAGATTTATATCTATTATAAATTGATTTTATATCTAGTCGAGACAGGACTTCCAATATCATTTTGTAACAATTTCATGAGTTTATATTTTTATATAAGGGGTGTTATTGGGGGAGTAAATGACAAAAAGTTCTAAACTAAAATTCTATCAACAGTTAGATACCAAAAGACAAATATTTAAGATTGTTTTTCTACAAGATACACTGTCTTTATGAGTAAGAACAACACATGCACAATTGCACATATCAGAGTGAGAGACAACATCTTAGCAGTTGGGTTTTAACTCAACTCTATTCTAAAGATAGATACCCCAAAATTCTATTAACAGGTAGTTTCCTAAAGACAAATATTCAAAACTGATATTGTACAAGATAAACAGTCTATATGAGTAAGAACAACACATGTGCATCTGCACATCTCAGTAAGAGACAACATCTTAGAATTTAGGCTTGGACCTAACTCAATTCAAAAGTTAGCTGAAGTTCTATTTACAGGTAGTTTCCTAAAGACAAATATTCAAAACTGTTATTGTACAAGATAATAGACAGTCTTTGAGAAATAACACGTGAAGTTGCACATCTCAGTAAGAGAGAAAACATCTTAGCACTTAGCCTTAGGACCTAACTCAATTCCAAAAGTTAGCCTAAAGTTCTATCCACTACAACCGTTGGTTATCTAACTCCAACTATATAAGAAATTGACACCGGTGTCCGTCTAAAACTTTAAGACAATATGTTAATGGGTATTACAACTTTGTATAATACTCTACTTTCTCATTTTTATCCACCATGTGACCTGACTCACTTAAATTCCCAACATCAACTATTAAGATAGGTTTTCTGATGCCATCTTAGAATCTAAGTTTGGATCTAACTCAGTCCTATAACTAGCTAAAGAATTCAAGGTTATTCACCATTTATATAAACTATTTAGTAATATCAATAGTGAATGGAAAATCTCAACATATGTGCCAAGTGTAAAGTGAAAAATAGAGAAAATGAGAGAAACAGAGTACTGACTGCCATGATGGAAAGAACCCATTGGTAACGAGACTGAGCATTCAAGCCAATGACAGTGTGAGATGGGTAACGAATTATAGTGCAGAGAAGCCAAACGTGATAGATTCCCAACACCAACACACCCAGAGGCACCAACACGTAGTCCAGTTCATCTACTTCCATGCTGCCTCTTCAATTTTCAAACTTTACTGTTCACATATCACTTACCTCACAACATAACCAACACCCAACACCAAAACTTTATAATCTCAGTGAATTCTGATTGGTTCTTCTTTCCTTTCACTCAGACCTACCCTTGTCTTTTTCCAGCCCACCTTGACATTTCCACTCACAAAACCTTCTCTTTTCCTCCATGGTAAGTAAAGATAAAGAGGTTCCCCGTTGATCTTTTAATTCGTAAAGTCTGCAAAAACTATAATCAAATCCATTTTTTCTGACTGAATAAAAATTGGGAAATGGAAATTAATACCGACACTATTAGTATGATTAGTATATGCTTTCCACCATGTTTCCCAATTATGATTTGATTTGACTAAATTTATCTGAAGAAACTAAAAAAGAACTGAAATTGAGATGGAGATAACATGTTCTTCCATGTGGTCATTTTCTTTATTCTTGTCAGGTCCCATGGAGAAATGCTTACACATGCCACTAGCTCAAACCACGTGCCATTTTGTTTCAAGTACTTTATAAACTTAACTCAATTCTATAAAATCCACTGCAAAATTCACTCGTAAGATAGGTTTACATTTGTACTTTAAATTTTCAACACCTTTTCTATTGTTATTTTTGTTATCACTCTTGAAACTGTTCAGAACTGTTCCTTATGTGCTTTTTAGACAAAAAGACCGTCGGCCAAAATTATGTTGTCGTTTATCCTTTCAACAAAGTTATTATAAACAAGATTGGTTGGCAATAATAGTGTTTACATAATTGTGTTGTCGATAACTACATTGTTACTATTAAATAATCCCTCAATGATGCATGAATCATCATAAACATAATATTACAAATTACTATTAAGTAATTGACAGCTGTCTTGTGTAGGTCATCTTAGATGGCTTCCATTAAAGATCAATCAAAGGAAAATCAAGTGCTTTCTTCTATAACCACCCCACATCTTGCATACAAGTCAATCAAAAGCATTTTCAACAAACAACTTACCCTTAAACCCATCACTTTCAGCGTAAACATACACTCATTTCAGCATATATATATATATATATCTTCTGTTTAAGAAAATGAGGGTGAGGTTCTCTCTTTCTTCCCCTCTCTCCAAGCAAAAATGATGTGCCTCACAGGTAGAAAAATCTGTTCTTAACTTCCTCAAGTGTAAGGAAATTTACAGTAAAATCTAATCGGAAATCATTGACCTTTATAATTTATAATTAGATTGTAGCATAAAAAATTATTTACTATCTATAATTAGATTGCTGCTGATGTTTACTCCACCTTTTAGTTTAATTCCTGCCCATGTAGTATTTGAATTTATCTAAAATGCTCTTAGTGTGTGGATCACACGTAGCCCTCAGTGATGCATGAATCATCATAATATAATATTACAAATTACAATTAAGTAATTAACAGCTGCCTGTGTAGGTCATCTTAGATAAGCTTCCAACACAGGAACAGATGGACTGATCTTGTTGTTTGTCTTCTAAAAAAAAGACATCAACATCTATTCTTCAATTGTTGTCTTACTTCTTGTTTGGTCTTCTTTCTATTAGCTCTGGTTTTCAATCTGATCTTCCATCGATCTTTTACAGAATACGATTTGGTAACCGAGGAAACTCAAGAATATATGGCTGCTTCTATCTTTGCTGTCATATGGTCGATGTGGCGACAACTTGACAGAATTCCATTAGTCTAGCTATCCAAACATGCAGTGCAAGCCCCTTTATGAATGATGACTAATCAAACTGTTGATACTTTGTCATGATATAATTTGTTGTAGAAGAGTGAGAGATTGAATGGTACAGCAAAAATGATTGGGACGATTGTAAGCAAGTTCATCCCAATGAAGTGAAATGTAACTAACATACCAGTAAACAAAAATGACTACCTAGTACTCTCATTGAATCCTTCAATAACACCCCTGGAACATGTTCATACTTCTCAATTGGAAAGTACAAATTTGTTACATTTATAATTTCTCATACATGATTGACGTCTGAGTTTTGATACAAATTGTTAGCAGGCAAAGGATGATAATCAGGTTCCACAACAGACTCTACATCATGGGTTCCCCTATCTTTCCTGAATGAGTTACTATGAAGATTCCGCGTGATTTTAGCTGTTGTATCCAAGAAGAACAAAACAAGTGACGTCAAGCAGCAGCATGCAAACATAGGTATTGGCCCATAAATCCAGAGGAAGAATGCAAATGACAGGTAAAATGCTCGAAGTCCAATAGACCAAGCATGACTCCCACGATTCAAAGTCACAGCAATATATTCCATATACTCCCTTTTGTCTCTGAGTGTTGGTGCAGTGATCAAGAAACTGACATGGCAGTAGTATCTTATGGACTGCACATTGCATAAGAATGCAATGAGGAAGCAAATGGTGACAGAAATATGTTTGACTGAACTATTACCGTAAGGTATTAAAGGCTCGTCATTATTCCAGGTACTGCTAGCAAAAATGCCAATAAGTGAACTGAGTGTGATGGCTGTTGTAGATAGAAGAGTAGATGCCATGATATTGTTGCGAATAGTTTGCACTGCCAGAACCCCATTCTTCATCGGTTCCTGAAAATATACCAGCACAATCAATTCCATAACTTTTTTTCATACCTTCTAAGACAGTAATTAGAGCCTCAAAAGGCTATACATCTCAATCAAACATACATCAGCAGCAACAGTCCATGATAACATAGTCAGCATGGATATTCAGTCTAAGACCATACCAGTGAGCAGTAACTGCTATGCGTAATTAAGTCGAGTTTTCTTCTGAGCTGTTTTTTTTACACTATCTATCACTACAATTAAATGTACGACAAAAGCATGGCCTCATTATGGTGTTTTGTATTAGAGTTGTATAAAAACAAGTGGTAACAGTTGTTTGATGATTATATTATTATCACCTTTCAGCCATCTCTTTCAGTTTCACAACTTGGTGCTTTGACCATTTCAAACTAAGAGTATTGGAGTCAAACAAGGAAGCTTTGTAACCTTTAAAAATAACAACAGAGAACTGAGAAAAACAAGAACAAAAAGAACCAAATGGGAAGGAAATGAAATAACCAAAAAACCGTATGTTGGCTCTATTTTTCTGAATACCTTGTCACTCCGGCCTCAACTATTTGTCGTAATTGGATTCAATGAATTACAACTTGCCACATGCTGCCATTAATAAAGACAAAAATTGCCAAACATACAGCAAGAAGTTGAGTTCCCCTGTAAATCCTATGTAAGAAACCCATCACTTTTGTCATTCATCCAACAACCAAACACTGTGAACAGACAATGAAAGAATACAGAAATGGGAAATATGCTGCTGCACTTTACTCAATGACCTCAAGAAACAGGAAAAATCTCCTGCTTTTTTTTTCTTTATTTACCCCTTACTGTAAGAATCATCATAAAATAACTAGTCATTGATTTCTCAGTAATAAGAAGGAACAGTGAACATGAAGTGCGATTGTCAATTTCATATCAAACTACAAAAGCCTAACCACAAAATGAGGACACTAATTCAGACACAAAGGTTCTTTTTTTTCTGAACATNAAATTAGCATCAATAAGAATAAATTAGTACTAAAATATAAAAATTACTTTTTTAACTTTACGGATTTCATATAACTTTTGTCATAACTATTATAGTCAGTCATTCAATGTAAATAAACAATCGCTAAAAAGAAAAGCAAAGATCATTCGCAACAAGGTTCACATAATGAAGCATCATTTTGAAAATTCGTTTGAAAAATTGACAGAAGAACAAAACAAGGTTCGTTCTTTTCTATTATGCAAGGTATGAGTAGAAAAAGTCACTAAAAAGTACAAAACAAACACAGAAACATGCATCTTATTGTGGAATTTGCAAGCTTTCGGCTAAGGATTGGCTGGTCCATGTTATCATCTGCATGCTTGCCAACCCAAGTTGCTATTAATTGATATATGATGTTGAGATAATCTTCTTCACAGTAACTAGTTATCCAATCATTCTCAAAGTTTTGAATATCCATGCAGGAATATGTCCTTTTTCACGTACCCATCCACCACCGGTAATTTGCTCTAATATTCTAACAGCTACTCAGGTTTATCACATCAAATAATGCTAAAAAAACATTTACGTGTTGAAAACATTCTGCTTAAATTCTTAAAGTTATTCAATTTTGAATATAATCATTGTTTGAGGTAGCAGTTTCCTGCTAAACGAATCGACTCACACACTTCTTTAATCCTAAAAAGTAATTTGAAATGTACCCTTTTACGTTTTGGAATTTTGGGAATGAAAAAAAGTGAGCTGATTTTTTAAAAGTGAATGAAAAAAAGAATACCTTTCAAAAGAAGGTTTAGTCTTAGTATGGTAAGAAAGATTTGGCATACCATATTGTTGATAAGGGTATCTGATATGTTGAAATTCCCACTACCAGAATTGGTAGCAGATATTTTTCTGCCATTATGTTCATCATTTTCTGCTTCTGTTATGCATTTCCCATCCTACAGAAAAATAAAGTGATTAATGAGTCTTTTTCAAGAGAGAATTCACTTTGAAGACACAACGTCAATAAGACCGTAAGTCTAAGGTAATGATTGATATCAATTTTAACTCAAAATTTTAATGGATTTATAAATTTTTTATCTTATATCGTGTTTAACTTTTTTATATCTATTCAACGTAGTTGCATTTCCAAGTGTGATTTACTTAGAAGCCAATCAAACAAGATAAAAGATATGATTTTGATCCTGCTTGTCCAAATATTATCACTTCCTCCAATCATTGACTTCCCTTGCATACATATATATCATCAATCTTTTCACATTTTGACAATCAATTAAGCTAGTCCCACATTGCTTGGAGAGCATGTTATGTTCGTTTCATTGCCCTGACATGACATGACATGCCATGCCTTAATCTAATGCAAACAACCAATTATATACTCCAATCAAATCTGATTTGGTTTTTCAAAGCTATGCCATCCATTTATATATGTTTGGTCATACAATGAAAGGACATTTCTGAAATGATTCGAGAGAGTAATAATAACTGTATAATGGGTAAACCAGCACCATCCATTACATGCTTGCCACTAATAAAGTTCATGTTCTTTATTCACCAAGCATAAGATTGATATTAGGTGTTCAAACCGAACTAAATCATTGTAAAAGCTGTTAGACCGAAACAAATTAACAGGGGGAAAATTACTTCAAGATACAACACATATTTCTCAGTCAATAGTATAAATAATTCACCAGTAACAATAACAAAACAGAGATGGTTTTAGAAAATATACAATTGAACATCAGTTTTTTTGCCATTAACTAGTTTGGTATGTGAGTCACTGTTTACAAAAACGCCTATAAGTGAACTAGAGTGATTGCTGTTGTATCAAGAAGAGTCGATGGCATGATATTTTTGCTGATTTTTGAACTCCCAAAACCCCAATTATTATCATTTTCTCCAATCATTGAATCATTCACACAGAAAACAATTTTTCCCTTCAAAATACTTCAATATACTACAAATACTTTTCAATGAAGATTGTGTAAGGAAGAGCAACACATAGATCTCCATACTGGTAAAATCTTATCCGTTCTGAGTCAAATTCTCACGAATTTGCTTTTTGTACTGTAATTAACCAATAATGGTATCATTACATGAATATAGAAAGCTCTATATTGAACTTTACCACGAGCTAAAAGATTATCAAGTTCAAGGACAGTTAGAATTATGAAACTAGGATGCTTCTGTGTCCCCAGTTTCCCTCTTATTGAATGACTTGGTGTGAAGATCTCGTGTGATTTTAGTGGTTGTGTCCAAGAAGTACAAAATAAATGATGTGAAGCAGGAACAAGCAAACATGGGTATTGGCCCATAAATCCAAAGGACAAGAGGAAATGAAAAGTAGAAGGCACGCAGCCCCAGAGACCAAGCATAACTCCCCCGGTTTAAGGATCTTGCAGCATATTCTATAAAATCCCTCTGGCCTTTCAGTGCATGTGTGGTGATCAAGAAGCTCACTTGTGCATAGTATCTGATAGATTGCACATTACATAGAAATGCAACGAGGAAGCATAGTGAGATGGAGAGGCGTTTGATTGAAGAATTAAGGGAAGTTTTGTTGCCATAAACTAGTTTGGTATCTGATTCATTGCTTGCAAAAACGCCAATAAGTGAACTAAGAGTTATTGCTGTTGTAGCCAGAAGGGTAGATGCCATGATATTGTTGCGGATTGTTTGAACTCCCAAAACCCCATTTTTCAGAGGATCCTGAAAACAATGCAAATGTAGTTTGTTGAGGAAACAATTGTCTCAGTGAATAAAATTATACTAGCCAAAAAGATTAAGAAATAAACTTTAAGCCTAACTCAACCCCACAAAATCAGTTTGTAAAATGAGATTTATATCTATTATAAATTGATTTTATATCTAGTCGAGACAGGACTTCCAATATCATTTTGTAACAATTTCATGAGTTTATATTTTTATATAAGGGGTGTTATTGGGGGAGTAAATGACAAAAAGTTCTAAACTAAAATTCTATCAACAGTTAGATACCAAAAGACAAATATTTAAGATTGTTTTTCTACAAGATACACTGTCTTTATGAGTAAGAACAACACATGCACAATTGCACATATCAGAGTGAGAGACAACATCTTAGCAGTTGGGTTTTAACTCAACTCTATTCTAAAGATAGATACCCCAAAATTCTATTAACAGGTAGTTTCCTAAAGACAAATATTCAAAACTGATATTGTACAAGATAAACAGTCTATATGAGTAAGAACAACACATGTGCATCTGCACATCTCAGTAAGAGACAACATCTTAGAATTTAGGCTTGGACCTAACTCAATTCAAAAGTTAGCTGAAGTTCTATTTACAGGTAGTTTCCTAAAGACAAATATTCAAAACTGTTATTGTACAAGATAATAGACAGTCTTTGAGAAATAACACGTGAAGTTGCACATCTCAGTAAGAGAGAAAACATCTTAGCACTTAGCCTTAGGACCTAACTCAATTCCAAAAGTTAGCCTAAAGTTCTATCCACTACAACCGTTGGTTATCTAACTCCAACTATATAAGAAATTGACACCGGTGTCCGTCTAAAACTTTAAGACAATATGTTAATGGGTATTACAACTTTGTATAATACTCTACTTTCTCATTTTTATCCACCATGTGACCTGACTCACTTAAATTCCCAACATCAACTATTAAGATAGGTTTTCTGATGCCATCTTAGAATCTAAGTTTGGATCTAACTCAGTCCTATAACTAGCTAAAGAATTCAAGGTTATTCACCATTTATATAAACTATTTAGTAATATCAATAGTGAATGGAAAATCTCAACATATGTGCCAAGTGTAAAGTGAAAAATAGAGAAAATGAGAGAAACAGAGTACTGACTGCCATGATGGAAAGAACCCATTGGTAACGAGACTGAGCATTCAAGCCAATGACAGTGTGAGATGGGTAACGAATTATAGTGCAGAGAAGCCAAACGTGATAGATTCCCAACACCAACACACCCAGAGGCACCAACACGTAGTCCAGTTCATCTACTTCCATGCTGCCTCTTCAATTTTCAAACTTTACTGTTCACATATCACTTACCTCACAACATAACCAACACCCAACACCAAAACTTTATAATCTCAGTGAATTCTGATTGGTTCTTCTTTCCTTTCACTCAGACCTACCCTTGTCTTTTTCCAGCCCACCTTGACATTTCCACTCACAAAACCTTCTCTTTTCCTCCATGGTAAGTAAAGATAAAGAGGTTCCCCGTTGATCTTTTAATTCGTAAAGTCTGCAAAAACTATAATCAAATCCATTTTTTCTGACTGAATAAAAATTGGGAAATGGAAATTAATACCGACACTATTAGTATGATTAGTATATGCTTTCCACCATGTTTCCCAATTATGATTTGATTTGACTAAATTTATCTGAAGAAACTAAAAAAGAACTGAAATTGAGATGGAGATAACATGTTCTTCCATGTGGTCATTTTCTTTATTCTTGTCAGGTCCCATGGAGAAATGCTTACACATGCCACTAGCTCAAACCACGTGCCATTTTGTTTCAAGTACTTTATAAACTTAACTCAATTCTATAAAATCCACTGCAAAATTCACTCGTAAGATAGGTTTACATTTGTACTTTAAATTTTCAACACCTTTTCTATTGTTATTTTTGTTATCACTCTTGAAACTGTTCAGAACTGTTCCTTATGTGCTTTTTAGACAAAAAGACCGTCGGCCAAAATTATGTTGTCGTTTATCCTTTCAACAAAGTTATTATAAACAAGATTGGTTGGCAATAATAGTGTTTACATAATTGTGTTGTCGATAACTACATTGTTACTATTAAATAATCCCTCAATGATGCATGAATCATCATAAACATAATATTACAAATTACTATTAAGTAATTGACAGCTGTCTTGTGTAGGTCATCTTAGATGGCTTCCATTAAAGATCAATCAAAGGAAAATCAAGTGCTTTCTTCTATAACCACCCCACATCTTGCATACAAGTCAATCAAAAGCATTTTCAACAAACAACTTACCCTTAAACCCATCACTTTCAGCGTAAACATACACTCATTTCAGCACATATATATATATATATCTTCTGTTTAAGAAAATGAGGGTGAGGTTCTCTCTTTCTTCCCCTCTCTCCAAGCAAAAATGATGTGCCTCACAGGTAGAAAAATCTGTTCTTAACTTCCTCAAGTGTAAGGAAATTTACAGTAAAATCTAATCGGAAATCATTGACCTTTATAATTTATAATTAGATTGTAGCATAAAAAATTATTTACTATCTATAATTAGATTGTAGCATAAAAAATTATTTACTATCTATAATTAGATTGCTGCTGATGTTTACTCCACCTTTTAGTTTAATTCCTGCCCATGTAGTATTTGAATTTATCTAAAATGCTCTTAGTGTGTGGATCACACGTAGCCCTCAGTGATGCATGAATCATCATAATATAATATTACAAATTACAATTAAGTAATTAACAGCTGCCTGTGTAGGTCATCTTAGATAAGCTTCCAACACAGGAACAGATGGACTGATCTTGTTGTTTGTCTTCTAAAAAAAAGACATCAACATCTATTCTTCAATTGTTGTCTTACTTCTTGTTTGGTCTTCTTTCTATTAGCTCTGGTTTTCAATCTGATCTTCCATCGATCTTTTACAGAATACGATTTGGTAACAGAGGAAACTCAAGAATATATGGCTGCTTCTATCTTTGCTGTCATATGGTCGATGTGGCGACAACTTGACAGAATTCCATTAGTCTAGCTATCCAAACATGCAGTGCAAGCCCCTTTATGAATGATGACTAATCAAACTGTTGATACTTTGTCATGATATAATTTGTTGTAGAAGAGTGAGAGATTGAATGGTACAGCAAAAATGATTGGGACGATTGTAAGCAAGTTCATCCCAATGAAGTGAAATGTAACTAACATACCAGTAAACAAAAATGACTACCTAGTACTCTCATTGAATCCTTCAATAACACCCCTGGAACATGTTCATACTTCTCAATTGGAAAGTACAAATTTGTTACATTTATAATTTCTCATACATGATTGACGTCTGAGTTTTGATACAAATTGTTAGCAGGCAAAGGATGATAATCAGGTTCCACAACAGACTCTACATCATGGGTTCCCCTATCTTTCCTGAATGAGTTACTATGAAGATTCCGCGTGATTTTAGCTGTTGTATCCAAGAAGAACAAAACAAGTGACGTCAAGCAGCAGCATGCAAACATAGGTATTGGCCCATAAATCCAGAGGAAGAATGCAAATGACAGGTAAAATGCTCGAAGTCCAATAGACCAAGCATGACTCCCACGATTCAAAGTCACAGCAATATATTCCATATACTCCCTTTTGTCTCTGAGTGTTGGTGCAGTGATCAAGAAACTGACATGGCAGTAGTATCTTATGGACTGCACATTGCATAAGAATGCAATGAGGAAGCAAATGGTGACAGAAATATGTTTGACTGAACTATTACCGTAAGGTATTAAAGGCTCGTCATTATTCCAGGTACTGCTAGCAAAAATGCCAATAAGTGAACTGAGTGTGATGGCTGTTGTAGATAGAAGAGTAGATGCCATGATATTGTTGCGAATAGTTTGCACTGCCAGAACCCCATTCTTCATCGGTTCCTGAAAATATACCAGCACAATCAATTCCATAACTTTTTTTCATACCTTCTAAGACAGTAATTAGAGCCTCAAAAGGCTATACATCTCAATCAAACATACATCAGCAGCAACAGTCCATGATAACATAGTCAGCATGGATATTCAGTCTAAGACCATACCAGTGAGCAGTAACTGCTATGCGTAATTAAGTCGAGTTTTCTTCTGAGCTGTTTTTTTTACACTATCTATCACTACAATTAAATGTACGACAAAAGCATGGCCTCATTATGGTGTTTTGTATTAGAGTTGTATAAAAACAAGTGGTAACAGTTGTTTGATGATTATATTATTATCACCTTTCAGCCATCTCTTTCAGTTTCACAACTTGGTGCTTTGACCATTTCAAACTAAGAGTATTGGAGTCAAACAAGGAAGCTTTGTAACCTTTAAAAATAACAACAGAGAACTGAGAAAAACAAGAACAAAAAGAACCAAATGGGAAGGAAATGAAATAACCAAAAAACCGTATGTTGGCTCTATTTTTCTGAATACCTTGTCACTCCGGCCTCAACTATTTGTCGTAATTGGATTCAATGAATTACAACTTGCCACATGCTGCCATTAATAAAGACAAAAATTGCCAAACATACAGCAAGAAGTTGAGTTCCCCTGTAAATCCTATGTAAGAAACCCATCACTTTTGTCATTCATCCAACAACCAAACACTGTGAACAGACAATGAAAGAATACAGAAATGGGAAATATGCTGCTGCACTTTACTCAATGACCTCAAGAAACAGGAAAAATCTCCTGCTTTTTTTTTCTTTATTTACCCCTTACTGTAAGAATCATCATAAAATAACTAGTCATTGATTTCTCAGTAATAAGAAGGAACAGTGAACATGAAGTGCGATTGTCAATTTCATATCAAACTACAAAAGCCTAACCACAAAATGAGGACACTAATTCAGACACAAAGGTTCTTTTTTTTCTGAACAATTCATCTTCAGAAACAATCCTGTTCTAAAAGCTGTTAAGCATGTAAGTGTTTACATATTTTCCAGTAAATATCTGAACTTTAGTTCTCCATAGTCATATACGCCAAGGGAGGATTGATGAACACGAAGGACAACACTGATTTTATCCAAAAGAAACAATTTTCCAAAAACTATCAATGACCCACCTGTGTTCACCATCCTTTTGTAATCAAAATTTTGTCAGCACATATTCAAAACTGATAGGATTTTTCATGAATTGAAAGAGAGAGAGAGATAGAGACAACTCACACTCATCATGGCAAGAACCCACTGATGACGAGACTCAGCATTAAGGCCAATAACAGTTCGAAGAGGGTTGTGTACGATGGAATAGACAAGCCAGATATGATACATCAGGAACACCAACAGACCCAACGGCACCAGAACAAAATCAAGCTGCTCCTTCTCCATGCCGCCAACAACACTTGCTCAGGTACGAGGAATTTGGAACTTAAAAGGCTTTTGATAATGAATGATTCATTGGTATATCCAACTTGTCTGGTCTTAGACCGAAATTTAAAGAATGAAAGCACACATAATCATCTCATTACAAAACTCATTTATTCTCACCAAACAAAAAGGATGAAAGTAAAAAGTAACAGTCTTTCATTCAGTGGCCATGGATGGATCCGAATCTAAAATATCAGATCAAATGTGATAGAAAGTATGTATGTATGTATGTATGGCCTAATGAATCATGATGCTGTTGTCGTCACTCACCTGTGTCCACTGACACCTGTTCACGCTTCACAAGTAGATTGAGATGTTCATCCGCTCAATAGAGAAAAATTGTTAAAAGTTGCAAACTAAAGTTATATGGAATTTTTTTAATTTAAAATTTTAATATATTTTGTTCTTCAAACCTATAAATAAAAAATATTATAAATTTGTTTTTAATGTGTCAAGTTTCATCTTAATATTTAAATTGTTTAATATTTGACACATTAGAAATTTAACGTATGATTATATCTATTTATTTTGAAAATTAAGAATTAAAAAATCAAAATTCACATAAAAACTAATTTTAATTTCATGTCAAATAACATTCTGGATTTTTATTTTTAGTATATTTACAAAAAAAAATCTTGTCACGTGAAGAAAATAAATAACATGTTAATTATCTATATGTATGACTAATTATATGATTTTTTAATATTCTTAATTAAAATAATTTGTTAATGTTATTAGTCCGACACACATATTCAACATATGTTTACTTGTCGATCCTCACACAAGGACAATTAAAATATAATTCAAGAACACTCAACAACTTTGAGTTGTAAAAAGAAGGGTCTTTATAAAAGTTAATCAAATATAATAATATTTTTATTAAGAAAACTACTGAATAAAATATAAATAAAAAATTAGGCAATTGCACAAATATAACTAACACATCATTGACATTATTCTTGAATTAAATAGTATAGATGGATGAATTTGGAAAGATATTTTGAATTGTGGTGAGTGACATAGGGAATAAATTAATTTGGTCCATTTGCATGATCTAATGGACACCCTTTATGATTGGTATAAACTATTGAGTTCTTAGTAAACAAAATGTGCCTTCTTTTTAAAATAGTGCAGTACTACTATTTCATTTGAATAACAATTCTCTAAAGTGAATGACTCACTCAATAAAATACAAACAGTAATTTGTTAATAGGAAAACTATAGGTTGATAATGCATACATACATAATAATATTTGTTAAGATACAAACAGATTTCACGTAAAATAAAAAGGCATAGATTTATATATAAATATAAGAAGTTTTTTTTAATGGTACTAAAAAGTAAATTTGTAAAAAGTTGATGATAATATCTTATCAATTTAAAGATATATATAT